TATTTTTACTTTATTGGTCATTTTGCACTTTTTAAGAAGAAGAGATCCATGAATGGACAGCATTTTAAAACGTGTAGTGTAGGCCTTAATGTTATAGATAACCAACGTGCCATGTATTTCGAGTTTGATAATTCCGATAACTGATAAATGTCTCTACGTGGGTACCCGTTTCTTTAAATCGTAAAATCGTGGAACCATAGCCAATGTAAACTTGGTGAATGTGCTTTATCTAGGTAAGACAGATAATCTATAATGTTAACATAATGTCCTACGTTTATCAAACACTGGAATGCCTTCTGTTGATTCTTTTCAAGTACATATATGCTACTACACATATTAGAACGACTGCTGTGTACTGACGTCGTTTTTACAAATTAAAACAAATGCTTAAGACCATCACAATACATCTACATGCACTTGAAATAATAATGATAATAATAATAAACATCGACATTGCCAAATAGATCTTTGGGTCACAAGGGACCTTTCGAACTGTATTCACAAAATTTGCCCAGAATGGTGCGCCTACGTACAGTCCACACCCAGGGCTTCAAGAGCTTGTAACCAGGGGACAGGCCATTAAGAGGCAAACTGTCACAATTAAGCTTTTTCTCCATTGAGCTGGAGGCCATCTGCCGTTTCGGGTAGCAACCCTGGATCCATGTGGTTTTCAATTAGATCTGTCTGCCGAGATGATCACAATTATTTCCCTGACTTCCTGAAGCGTGTGTAACTCTAAGAATTAATGGGTTTGGAGGGAACATCTGAGTCTGGGTCTCTGAATTCACCATGGTACCTAAACTTCATTGGTTTTCCCCACTCCACGTTAGTCATCTATGGGCACCTTAATCGTGTTTAATACAAGAATATTCTGAAAGCCAGCTAACTTCCGTTTTCTATAGTGGGTGCCACAGAGACATATGTTTGGTAATATGAGAATGAACATCAACAGCGTACATCAACATCAAGTAAGGGCGGTGACTGGTGGTCACGTGTACTGTCATGTGATATTGCGCCAGTATATACTCATTCAAGTATAGACGACTGTAACATATTGTTGATAACGCTGGTTTTTGATCAGTTTCAATTAAACTTGAAAGGACCACTGCTGAAGACACACACGAAGATCAATAGGCTATTTGGAAATTGCAACGGTGGGTGATAGTTACATTAAATATTTATTTGATTTAAGTCGATGGGTCCGTGTTTGTATTACAATACGTTCTTTTTCATTTATCTGCATTTACACAATAACGTTTAATTTTGTTGATAAAATGAACGCTGATGCCATGTATACTTGCAAACATTGATCGATTTGCAATTTAAGAATTCACTTTGACTTCTCACTCTTCGACCGTTGTTATCTGAAAGGACTTATTGTAATGACATACATTGTACCCAGTTAAAAGTAAAATGAAGACTAATATTGTACTCTGAATGCTCCGCTCATTATGTAACTGAGTGACAAAAGCGACTCGTTCCACCCAGCATCGTCGCATACCACTTGCTTAGTCTCATGAAATTTATCCTTGACAAAATGTCATATTCACAACAGTTTTTTTCCAGTGGAACCGTTTTGGCAGACACAATTTCTTAGCGCATGCACATAATAGTTCTTGCGTTATTTCCTGCCGCCACAAACTTCATCCATGCTACTTCCAGCTATTTCATTGCTTTAGCAGAAGTATTAAAAAATCTATGCTTTGTTAAAATTGCCAAAAAAGCATTTATGCTAACTGAAAAAAAATTGATTTACAGAAGAAAACTTTGCATAAGAATTATAATCTTATGCCATCTCATGTGTTTTGTCTATTTTTTATTCCAAACAATTAAATTTTTAGGTCAACTCTGACAAAATAAAGATCGTGATTGTTTTTGTAGTTTTACTGACAGTTGGGATAGACTGCGGATGTAAGTAAGAATTAAGTGCCATAAGTAACTTTTTAAAAAACCATGCAGTCCAGCGTTGATTTGGGTGAAGTCATTTTTGTTATTTGGCGATTGTATGAAACTGATTCGCCTTCCAATTTTTTATAATATTTCTTTTTTTGAAAACGCGTTCTTATTATCTTAATGATACATAGAAACAATAGATACCAAAAGAGTACTCTTGAGTCCTAAATATTTCCTTTACGATTCATATCTAGTGAAGAAGTTGGTGCGAAATAATCCAACTAAAAGATGTCCGGGAGATTTGCAATGGTTCTCCTGCGGTTCCGCGTGTCCGCAGGTTTGCGGGAAAGAGGAACAACTGTTCTGCTACATGATGTGTGTCCCTGGCTGTGCTTGCCCCCGGGACAAGAAAATCAGGGTCAGCGAGACCAGCACCCAGTGTGTGAAGAGTAGGGAGGACTGTCCACAGTGAAATGGCAATCAATATTGTCTCAATATTCTGTCACCAAGTATGATTTTAATTAAATGAAATATAATAAACAGAATTAAGATAATTTGCAATATTTTGTCATTTTCGGGCTTTATGATATAAGATGCTGGCCGGATGCAATTTTTTCCTTTTTTTACCGTTTGTGCTCCGTTCATTATATAAATGAGTGACAAAAGCGGCACGTATCATATTCACTACAGTAACTGCGACGTGTGAAAAAAATGACTTACAGTAGTCAACAATTTTTGCCAGCCATTTCCTTTGGTTCTCTTTTATGTTTGTTTGTTTAAAGGCTTGGTAACATGAACGGGACGCCCGTCGCTTATGTCATACATGTACATGCACTAATTCCCAGATTATTTTACCAAGATACTGTATTTTATGTCTCCTCATTAATCCAAGCGAAAGGATAAGTAAAGGACAAACACAGATATAGTGTTCGAAATTTGGCCGGTAGCGGCCGCTTTTATTGAAAGGTCCCTCTAGTAAAGAACGGTGTTAGATATTATATAGCATTAAATAATGTTAATTAGTCAAAATTACGTAATGTTATATCTTAAAAAATAAATATCAAAACAAATAGTGCAAATATTTTCATTTGTGGGGTTGCAAAGAGGCCAAAACCCTTGGGCTGAAAAGGCCAAGGAAAAGCCCACTGTGATCAAGGACAACTTAAATGTAATGAAAAGAAAATCTTACTTGTAAAATAAAAGGTCCGCTTCTCGCACGAGTCTCCTTCTAGGTTGGATCTGTGAATCCCTCAAACAAAGCCGATCAAGAGAAATACTGGCAGACACAAAGCGGAACGCAAACAAAGATCGTCAGCGAGGCAAAATTGAATAAATTGCAATGGTGAATGTTCCATTTCTCAATAAAGTCTATTCAAGCTTGGTTAGAGCCAAGAGTCGCACAAACGAATTCGTAATAAGTAAAGAAGTAAACAGTCACAGACCAAACGAAAAAAAATTCCAGCGAGGCTCAACTTATATAATCAATCTTGAATGCTATGCTTTCCGATAAGAACTTATAGCAAAGTGAGGCCGATCACCAGTGTTTACTGAATAAATGCGGCAGCGCGTACCTAAAATTTCAGCAAAAGCGACGCTTCAAAGCTACCGGGTCTGCCAGATTGGACAGATAATTTTCAAGGAGCGTATTGCAGTAAATTCCAGATGCCATTCCCTGTTGACACTCCNTGGACAGATAATTTTCAAGGAGCGTATTGCAGTAAATTCCAGATGCCATTCCCTGTTGACACTCCTAACTTGGTAATACCAGATGCCGTTTCCCCCCGCTAATGAAAGTACGCAACGGCCCATGAAATCAATTAAGTTAATCGTGGCCATAAAACACCGTTTGTCTACGCCCAACTTCCCTTTATGATTCAAGATATTTTATGTTATTACCATGACGTAATCTTTAAGGGTGGTGACTGGTGATCACGTGTACTGTGTCGTGTGATATTATATTGCGCCAGCATATCCTCATTTAAGTATAAACGACTTTAACATATGGTCGATAGCTTTAATCAAACTTGAAAGGGCCACTGTTGAAGACCAACGGGAAGATCAACGGGCTGTTCGGAAATTGCAACGGTGGGTGATAGATATAATAAACATTTATTTGATTTAAGTCGATGGGTCGGTGTTTGTATTACAATACGTTATTTTTCATTTACCTGCATTTACACAATAACGTTTAATTTTTTTGATAAGATAAACGTTGATGGCATACAGACTTGCAAACGTTGATCGATTTGCAATTTAAAAATTAACTCCGACTTCTCACTCTCTGACTGTTGTTATCTAAAAGGACTTAATGTAATGACATTTCGAGTTAAAAGTAAAAATGAACATTAATATTGCACATTGAATGCTCCGCTCATTATATGAGTGACAAAAGCGACACGTTCCACCCAGCATCGTCGCATACTACCCGCTCAGTCGCATTAAATTGTTCCTTTACAAAATGTCATATTCACTACAGTAACTGCCAAGTGTGACAAAAATAACCTAGATTAGTCAAAAATTTACCGCAGTCATTTCCTATGGCTCTATTATATGCATGTTTGTTGAAAGGCTTGGTAGCATGAACAGGAAGCATGTCACTTATGTCATAAATGCACTTATCCCCAGATTACCTTACCAAGATATTTTAAGAATCAAAACATTTTATTCTTATCCCAGTGGAACCGTTTTGGTAGACGCAGGTTCTTAGTGTATGCATATATTTGTTATTGTGTAATTTCCTTCGGTCACAAACTTCATACATGCTTGTCACTTTCAGCTATCTCACTGTTTTAGCAAAAAGTGTTAAGATAAAATATCTAGGATTTTTTTAAAATAAAAAAAAATTTATGGAAACTGAAAAAATTAATTTAGCCCAAAACAATTTGCATAAGAATCATAATATAATGCCATCCCATGTGTTTTCTCAGTCGTATATTTCAAACCATTATTTTTTCAGGTCAACATTAATAAGATGAAGATAGTTATTGTCTTCGTAGTTTTACTGGCAGTTGGGATAGACTGCGGGTGTAAGTAAGAATTTTAAAGTGCCATTAGTAGCTGTTAAGAAAACCATGCAGTCCGACGTTGATTTGGGTGAAGTCCATTTTGTCCTTTGGCGATTGTATAAACTTTGCCTTCCATTTTTTTTTTTAGATTTCTACAATTCTTCTTTGAAAACGAGCCTCTTATTATCTTAATGATACATACCTGTAGAAACAACAGATACTACCAAAAGAGTATACTTGATTCCTTAATATTTTCCTTTACGATTCATATCTAGTAAAGAAGTTGGTGAGCAACAATCCAAGTAAAATATGTCAAGGAGATTTGGAGTGGTATTCCTGCGGTTCCGCGTGTCCGCCGGTTTGCGGGAAAGAGGAGCAATTGCTTTGCGCCCAGGTGTGTGTCTCTGGCTGTGCTTGTCCCCGGGACAAGAAAATTCGGGTCAGCGAAACCAGCACCCAGTGTGTGAAGAGTAGGGAGGAATGTCCGCAGTGAAACGACAATCACTATTATCTCAATATTCTGTCAACAAGTATGATTTCAATCAAAATGAAATTTAATAAACAGCATTGAGATTAACTGCAATATTTTGTCATTTTTGGGCTTTATTACATAAGATGCTGATTTTGTTTACCTCAGTACTCTAGTAACGAAACGCAAATACAACACAGAAAGACGACAACAAATGATCCATATTAGATGTCAGATTTGCATGATATAAAATTGTCGTTATGCTTGTATGTATAATTTAATTTTGTCTCCACGTTTATGTTGGGGAATCAATACGGGGAGCGATAAACGGATATGACAGAATCATCTTGTGCAGGGTGCATTTTAGCTGGAGTAGTGAATGACATTGTTATGATGTAATCAAGGGCGGTGACTGGTGATCACGTGTACTGTGTTATGTGACATTGCCCCAGCATATCCTCCTTCTAGTATAGACGACTGTAACATATTGTCGGTAACTTCGGTTTTTGATCAGTTTAAGTCAACTTCGAAAGGGCTACTGTTGAAGCCAAATACAAAAATCAATCGGTTGTTTGGACATTGCTACGGTGAGTGATAGTAACATTTATAACTATATTCATTTGTGTTTAGTCGACGGTGCCTATTTTAGATTTCGATACGCACAATTGCTTGCTTTTACACAAAAACGTTAAATTTTGTGGGACAGTTTATCGTTGAAGCCCTATGGACTTCCAAACGTTGATCGATTTGCAATTAAACATTTTACTCTGGCTTCTCACTCTCTGACAGTTGTTATCTAAAAGGATTTAATGTAATGACATTTCGAGTTAAAAGTAAAAATGGACATTAATATTGCACATTGAATGCTCCGCTCATTATATAACTGAGTGGAAAAAGCGACACGTTCCACCCAGCATCGTCGCATACTACCCGCTTAGTCTCATTAAATTTATCCTTGACAAAATGTCATATTCACTACAGTAACAACTACGTGTGACAAATATGACTTGGATCAGTCAAAATATGCCGCAGTTCCTTTGGTTCTATTTTATGTTTGTTTGTTTGTTTAGAGGCTTGTTAACATGAACAGAAGGCCTGTCGCTTATGCCATACATGCACTTATTCCAAAATGATTTTACCCAGATTTTTTAGATTCAAGATATTTTATTAAATCCCAGTAGAACCGCTTTGGCAGACACAGGTTCTTAGTGCATGTACATATTTGTATTCTTGCGTCTTACTTGATAGTTTGTTGTAAAAAGATTGAGAATCTTTGCTTGTTGTAGCTCAATGGTATTGTTTTGATTCTCACTTTTAACCCCTAGTTTTATCAAATATCAGAAACAGTCTTATCACAATTCAAACATATGCAGTATGCAGCGTCATAGTATGCATACGACCTTTAATTTCTGTGACCAAGAACTTCATACATGCGCAGCACTTCCAGATTTCTCATTGTTTTATAGCACCAAGTGTTATAATAAAAATCTTTACTTAGTTAAAATTGCAAAAAAGCATATATGCAATCTGAAAAAATAATTTACCGGAAAAAAATGCTTAAGAATTATAATGCCATATCTCATGTGTCTTGTATATAGTTTATTTCAAACCATTACATTTTCAGGTCAACTCTGATAAGATGAAGATTGTAATTGTTTTTGTACTCTTACTGGCAGTTGGGATGGACTGTAGACGTAAGTAAGAAGTGCCATTAGTAACGGTTTTGATTTTCGCGAAGTCGACAACTGTATATAACTGATTTGCCTTCCAATTTTATATTAGAATTCTTCTTTGAAGACGAGTCTCTTATCACCTACGAGATACATACTACCAAGAAATACAACCAAATGAGAATACTTAAGTACTTTACGATTCACATCTAGGGAAGGAATTGAAACCAACCGAGCCAACTAAAATATGCCCGGGAGATTTGGAGTGGTTTTCCTGCGGTTCCGCGTGTCCGCAGATTTGCGGGAAAGAGGAACAATTGTTCTGCATCATGGTGTGTGTATCTGGATGTGCTTGCCCCCAGGACAAGAAAATCCGGGTCAGCGAGACCAGCACCCAATGTGTGAAGAGTAGGGAGGACTGTCCGTAGTGAAACGACAATCACTTTCGTCTCAATACTTTGTCACCGAGTATGATTTTAATTATATTGAAATATAATAAACGGAATTGATATTATCTGTAATGTTTTGTCCTTTTCTGGCTTTATGATATAAGATGCTGATCGGATGCAATCAATCTTCTTTTGTTTACCCAAGTACTATGCCTGGACAATATATTGCAACGTAACGCAAATACAACACAGCAAAGGGCTAAAACACGGAGACAAATGATTCATATTAGATGTCAGTTTTGTGTTATGCTTTTATATATAATTTAGTTTTGTCTCCAGGGTTATGTTTGGGAATCATCACTTTCAGCTATCTCATTGCTTTAGCAAAAAGTGTTAAGATAAAATATCTATGATTTTTTAAAATTTAAAAAAAAGCATTTATGCAAACTGAAAAAATTAATTTAGCCCAAAACAATTTGCATAAGGATCATAATATAATGCCATCCCATGTGTTTTCTCGATCTTTTATTTCAAACTATTATATTTTCAGGTCAACACTTATAAGATGGAGATCGTAATTGTCTTCGTAGTTTTACTGGCAGTTGGAATAGACTGCGGGTGTAAGTAAGAATTAAGTGCCATTAGTAGCTGTTTAGAAAACCATGCAGTCCGACGTTGATTTGGGTGGAGTCCATTTTGTCCTTTGGCGATTGTATTGACTTGATTTGCCTTCCATTTTTTTTTTAGATTTCTACAATTCTTCTTTTATTTTTTAACGAGTCTCTTATTATCTTAATGATACATAGAAACAATAGATACTACCAAAAGAGTATACTCAAGTCATTAATAGTTTCCTTTAGGATTCATATCTAGTGAAGGAGTTGGTGAGAAACAATCAAATTAATAGATGTGAAGGAGATTTGCAATGTTTTTCCTGCGTCTCCGCGTGTCCGCATTTTTTGTTCTTTTGTATAAAACTGATTTGCCATCCAATTTTTATTAGATTTCTTCAGTTCGTTTTTGACAACGAGTCTCTTATTATCTTAATGATACATAGAAACAATAAATACTACCAAAAGAGTGTACTTTAGTCCTAAATATTTTCCTTTACGATTCATATCTAGTGAAGGAGTTCGTGCGAAACAATCAAATTAATAGATGTGAAGGAGATTTGCAATGTTTTTCCTGCGCCTCCGCGTGTCCGCAGATTTGCGGGAAAAACCGCACTGCAACATGTGGTGTTCCTCTGGATGTGCTTGTCCCCGGGACAAAAAAATCCGGGTCACCGAGACCAGCACCAAGTGTGTGACGAGAAGGAGGCTGTCCGCAGTGAAACGGCAATCACTATTGTCTCAATATTCTGTCACTATGTATGATTTTAATTAAAATGAAATATAATAAACAGAATTGAGATTATCTGCAATACTTTAATTGTCATTTTTGGGCTTTATGATATCAGATGCTGATCGGATGCAATCCATTCCCTTTTGTTTATCCCAGTACTTTAGTATCGAATTCAAATACAACACAGCAAAAAGAAGACAAATGATCCATATTAGATGTCAGTTTTGTATCGTAAATTGAACGCTGATGTCATAAGGACTTGCAAACGTTAATCGATTTGCAATTTAAAAATTCACTCTGACTTCTAAATCCTACCGTTGATATCTGAAAGGACTTCATGTAATGACATACCGAGTTAAAAGTAAAAATGAACATTAATAGTGCAGTCTGAATGCTCCGCTCATTAAAACTGAGTGACAAAAGCGGCACGTTCCACCCAGCATCGTCGCCAACTATCTGCATCGTCTCATTAAATTTATCCTTGACAAAAATGTCATATTCACTATAGTAACTACGACGTGTGAACAAAATGTCTCAGATCAGTCAACAATTTTCTGCAGCCGTTTCCTATGGTTTTATTTTATGTTTGTTTGTCTGTTTGTTTGTATGTTTGGAAGCTTGTTAACATGAACAGGATTCCTGTCGCTTATGTCATACATGCACTTATTCCCAGAATATTTACCAAGAATTTTAAGATTCAAGATATTTTAATCCAATCCCAGTGGAACCTTTTGGCAGAGGCATGTTCTTAGTGCATGCACATTAGTTCTTGCGTCTTACTAGGTAGTTTCTTGTAGATTGTTTGTTGCAACGGTGGGTGATAGTGATATTAAAATTTTCATTTATGTTAAGTCGATGGGTTCTTGTTTGTAATACAATACATACTAGTACATGTACATACATATAAACAACAGCGTTTAATTTTGTTGATAAGTTGAACGCTGATGCCCTATGGACATGCAAACGGGAATCGATTTGCAACTAAAATTTTTACTCTGGCTTCTCACTCTTCGACCATTGAAATCTGATAGGACTTAATGCAATGAGGCTTAATTTGGTAACAGGAACAGGACGTATGTCGCTTATGTCGCACATGCACTTATTCCTAGACTACTTTACCAAGATGTGTTTAGATTTAAAATATTTTATTTCCAGTGGAACCGTTTTGGCAGACGCAGGTTCATAGTGCATGCACATAGTAGTTCTTGGGTTATTTCCTGTGGCCACAAACTTCATACATGCTTGCCACTGCCTGCTATCTCATTTTTTAACATCAAGTATTTAGATGAAATATCTACAATTTGTTAAAAATGACGAAAAAAGCATATAAGAAAACTGAAAAATTAATTAACCGATTAAATTTTCCATAAGAAATATAATCTAATGACATCTTATGTAATTTGTCTATCGTTTATTTCAAACAGTAATTTTAAGACAACTTTAATAAAATGTCGATCGTGATTGCCTTTGTACTTTTACTAGCAGTTGGGATAGACTGCAAGCATAAGTAAGATGTGCCATTAGTAACGGTTAACTATGTGACAGAGTCATCTTGTGCATGGTGCATTTTAGCTGGAGTAGTGAATTACATTTTATGATATAATCAGGGGCGGTGACTGGTGATCACATGTATTGTGTCATGTGATATTGCGCCAGCATATACTCCTTCAAGTATAGAAGACTGCAACATATGGTCCGTAACTCCGGTTTTTGATCAGTTTAAATCAAACTCAAAAGGGCCACTGTTGAAGCCAAATACGAAAATCAATCGGCTGTTTGGACATTGCAACGGTGAGTGATAGTAACATTTATAAGTATTTACATGTGTTTGGTCGACGGTGCCTATTTTATATTTCGATATGCACAATTACCACCCTGAGCTTCCGAGATAACTTGACACTAACCTCT